TAAGTTTAGGGAGTTTACTAACTATTTCCAGCCAGTCATGAACATTACTGAGATTGGTGTTACTCAGATCCAAATATGTTAAAGAAGAAAGATAGGGGAGCCATGAATTCAGAATTTCCACACTATTAAAGTCATTCCCACTGAGATCAAGATATTGCAAGTGGGTAAGGTTTCCAACTTGACTTGGAAATCGACCACCGAAAGAAGTATCAGAGAGACCGAGGTGTCTTAAATTGGAAAGAGAACCCATGAAATTTGGAAGTCGGGTTCCATTGAAATTAATGCAAGAAAGGTCCAAATATTTTAAATGCTGCAACTCAATCAGTTTAGGACTCATCATCTTACCTTGCAAATAGTAGTTGAGAGACCCTGGCTTACCTTGCTGTTGAAGTGAGTAAGTTTCATTCAAATATGACCATCCAAGATTAAGTTGAGTAACATGGTTGGTTCGGTTGCTGCAGCGGACGCCTGACCATTTGCAACAATCTTGCATGTGTTCTTCTATTCCCCACGAAGAGAGGAGATTGTAGAGATCCACGAGGCCGTGTTTGAAAGCAAGGAGTGCTTCTCTTTCGCTCTCAATGCACCTCATCACTCCTCCTGAAGAAATATTTTTGAATCCAAGGGAAAGGGAAGGGTTTACAGCACATTGTAGTAAAGTTAGCACCACAATTAAAGCACGAAAGAGTTTCTTCAAGCACCTGATTCTGTCACCCTCCATCTTACTTCAACTAAATCAACCAAGAGACAATTGAAGCACGAAAGAGTTTCTTTAGGATTTTGATTTAGGAGCAAAAGGAAAGCTGCGCATGGAAAAACACCTGACAGTGTAATTTGTTGGCTGTGAATAAATGTTGATTCCGAAAACCAAGTTGTAATGGTTTGTTAGAATGATGTGTTTAGTTAAATAATAAATCAAATCAAAATGTGTAACACATTTCAGCCGGAATTATTATTATTATATCCATATAGTTACACTAGAAGAGTAAATATTGTATCAAACTCAACAGTTTTACGAGATTTGAATTTAGCACTTTGAACTTACAAGTGGAAAAAATATTAGTAGTCCGTAGTAAGTGTGAGGTGATTGTTAGTGAAAATCGATAATGTCATTGACAATCTATGACACGCTATATTTGGGTGGGGGATTTTCGAGTCATGGGATTGAAAGGCAAATTATAAAAAGAAAATATTACAAAATGAGAAAATTCTTTAATAATACGTAAAACTGAATGATACATAATGAATGGAGAAAAGAAAAGATAAAATATCCAATAGTCGTGAAAATCTTTATATAATAGAATATCCGATAGTTCTCCTTCTCTAGTTCATATGTCATTTTATCTCAAGCACGCTATAAAAAAAGGTAGGCCTACAAGTAACAATCAAAGGCAATGTAATAGGTGACCAAAACATAGCCTGATAAATTACATCAAGTACCAAGGGCATCTCCAATGGGAGACCCTAATTATAGGTCTCCACCATCTTCAATGGAATATTCGAATCCCTAAATGAAGCTTGTGGGCGTTGATAAAAACAAGAAAACAAACCAAAAAACTATTTCTACTGTGCGTTTCCCAACGGCTAAAAGAATGGAAAATGTCACAAGTGTGGTGTGGGGCCCATGATTGACGATGTGTCCGTCTGGAAGTGAGAGAAGCTGTTGTGCAGCATTATCATGTTAGTGAGGCTTGTTTCCTACTCAAAATCTACATTGGTGCCCACTCTTTGAAGATTTCTTTGAGGTAATTAGTGAGTCCTTATATTTTGGGATACTTTGAGGATCTCTATTCTGCCAATGGGAAGCCATTTGTCCCTATATTTAGAGGCTATAGGGTTGTGGGCACTCCATTTAAGATCTCCATTGGAGATGCTGGCAGTACAATAATTCCACTAAACAACATAATTGATAAACTGAAACTTTTTAATGCACCAGATATGAGATATAGGTGAGTCTTTACCTAATTTGCTTTCCGCCAAACTACTTTTTTTTCGATTCACCAAGGTATATGGAAATCCTAGTGTAAAGGACTTTGAAGCACTACCTTCCCTCAAGTTCAACCATGTTCATTAAAGTCAAATTAAGATTACAATGATTCCACTAGACATCATGATTTATAAAAAGAGACCTTTTTATGCACCAGATATTGATGACTCTTTACCAAATTTTGAAATAATATTGAATTATGTCCACCCGCTAAGTTTTGATAAAATATAATTACTTTATAATAATTCTATCAAAACGATATCATTGATATACATGGGACGATAATTCCACTAATTTTATCAAAACCACAAATTTCCAAAGTGATTATCTTTTTAAGTGATATGGGATGAAAGTTAATTCCTTTAAAAGTGAGGCACTCAACGCATGCTTCAGAAGGTGGGATGTTATGGTAAAAAAGATCAATATTATTTGAGCAAGTGCTTACACCAGAATCATACTTTCATGTCCATCATAGGGCTTGAGTTTGGGGCAACATCTAGCTTTTCTGATTCGAGCAATATTCTAATCTAAACTAACTATGAGGAGGGGGATTTGAACTTTGAGTGTAAGTTCAAGGGGAAGCAGACTGCTATAGCCAACTTGCTACTTGTTCTCAAGAAAGACTTTACAAGTTATTAGATGTCAAGAAAAATTGACACTGAAAATTTTACAAGATCTTTAATCTTCAAAGAACAAAACAATACCGCCCATATATACAAAAAGTACTCGACAAAATGTTCCATTTAGAAAATAGAGAAAAATCTTTTGCCCGTTGCGCACTATTTCCATCTACAAAATCCTTGAATATTTTATACTAGGACCACCCAAGGTTAAAATTATGGATTCGCCACTGCAAGTAAGTATAGCATGTTCAAGATGTTCCATATGAACATTTAATTATTAAAAGCAGCAATTCAACGAAACATCATCACAGTTTAGCACTGAAATTAGAAGTTCTAGGAATTATGAGAACAAAAATGGGGCAAATTCTGAATTTCAAGGTGTGCGGAAATCATTCTTACTTTTTATTTTGTTACTCTTCCATATACATTTTTTAAAAATTCCTCCCCGACATTTCCCCTCCATATCTTACCCAAAGAAAAAAAAATTGAAACTAAAATATAAAAACTATCGAATTGGTTAAAATGGAATATCCTTCTTGATTAAGTCAACTGGTTTATCCTCTTTTTTTTTTTTTTTTTTTTTGCATAACTTGATCGATAACTTGTTGCAAGTTTGATACGATTCAATACTAGAAGAGAAGTCTGTTGGTAGTTGAGGGCCACTACCAAAGGGTTTTGGTCCATTAATTTCCCCATTACAATGACACTTCCTATTCGTCCACAAAGAAAAATTCGATTTTACTGTGTAGTTACCACTATCTATATGAATTATTCAATTAGTAAGTCAAGTCAATACCTGATCATTCGAGTTGTCTTTGTCTAATTTATGAAGTGAGATTTCCGCACACCCATTATTCAATTGTTATTGAATGACATTGACAGAATTTGCAGTGTTTTGTATATCAATCCAGTCATGTATGAACAAGTGACTCTGCTTTAACCTTTAACTACTACAACTGTAAGGCATACTTTTCTTCTATAAAAACTTTTTTACATTTGTCAAGAAACCAGAAACTGGGCAGAATTCCAGCAAGCCTTGCTCGGATAGATAGTTTTAGTTTCTTGGACTTGTCATACAACAACTTTTATGAAAAAATTCCAATACGCACTCAGCTCCAAAGTTTTGATCCCTATGTTTAGGCTGGAAATCCACAACACTGTGAACCTCCACTTCAAAAGATGTGTGCTGATCAACAGGGAACTGTGTGATGAGCTTATTGTTGGAATTTCACATCGATGGGTGAAAAGATTTCCAACAATGGGTTTTAAATATGATTAGCCCATTCTAACTAATACCGAGACCTTTTGTGGTAAAACTCCACACCTGACAGATTGGGCAAGTGAGGTGGTAAAGTTCGGGACAATATTGATGTCATTAAAGTGGGACCCCTCGAGCCCGTCGATCTAAAAAAATTTCAACATGGTATCAGAGCCAAGGTTCGGGCCCGTGCAAGCCAACAAGCTTGTCAGTTGTCACCAAGAAGGAAACAAGTCAGGACTCTTAACAGAGAGTTGGCCTCTGAGTTCCATTGAAAACAAGTATGGACTCTTAACATAGAGCCGACCTTTGAGTGTCAATTGCCAATGTATAGATCTCTACATGTGAACCACTAAATGGGGTTACACATGAGGGGGAGTGTTGGAATTCCACATCGGTGGGTGAAAAGAAAACAATGGGGTTTAAATATGATTACCCCACTCTAACTAATACCGAGGCATTTTGTGGTAAAACCCCACACCTGATAGATTGAACAGGTGGTAAAGTTGGGGACAATATCGGTGTAGTTAGAGTGGGACCCTCCACGATAAAAAACAACGGATTTCGAATCAATAAAATAACTAATCAGGTCGTTATTGGGTTACCCGTTAATAAATAAGGTCGTTAACAGGTTTACATGTGGATGATTTGTTTCAACCCGTTAAGATAAAAAGTTAGTTCGATAATTTTAAACTACTAAAACCTTACTAGTTACTACAATAGCCATACTTAATATCACATAAGTAAGCTTAAAAATTTTCAAGGCACTTTAAAAATACAAAGCAATTTAAAATGCCAAAGCACATTAAAAACTCATAATAATTCATTTAGAAGTGTGAAAATGTGAAAAAATATGCGGCGGTGGTGGGAATTGGATTTTAAACTACTAAAACCTTACTAATAGTTTGATAATTTTAAACTACTAAAACCTTAACGTTAATCCAATATTTGTTACAAACGCTCTTTCTCTTAGTGTTTAAAATGCCAAGCACATAAGTAAGTTAGTTTGATAATTTTAAACTATTAAAACCTTACTAGTTACTACAATGGCCATACTTAATATCACATAAGTAAGCTTTAAAATTTGAGAAATTGTTAAAAATGACCAATTTTCTTAATCTTAGGATTGAAATAGGACAAACTGAATATGCGCATGCCATACACAACAAACAATAGGACAGAAATATGATTTTTCTTACATGTTGAAATGATTTAATTGCCCTCGTATATAAATGAGTTATTTCCTCCAACTTAGTCATCATTTGCACCTTTCTCCGAAAATCTCTCTCACCCAATCCCCAAAAAGAACCCTAACCCACAATCCCCAATCCCGTTGGTTGACCCTGCTTTTTGTCATCAATTCTGCCGCTGGACTGGCCGGTTTCTCATCCTCCTTCGAATCGAAACAAGGATTTTGGGAGGGGCCTGGGTTTGGGAAGATGGCTTACCTTGGTCTGGTTTGCATTTGGGCCTGCATGCACACTTGACACACTGCAACTGTTTTAAGTTGATGTCCTAGTCCCATGTCCAGATAATAGTACCATACTAGTAAGAGAGGTCCGCGCGATGCTGCAAGATTGAAAACTGTATGAAATTTTGTGTATAGCACTATGTCCATACAAAAATACTTGATCTGTATGTACATACTATTTTACGTGCAAAAGATTTAGTAGATAATCCTATTTACATACAAAAGAGAATGCTTGATGCATATGTACATAATATTTACATACAAAAAATTTACGAAATTGTCCTACTTACATACAAAAGATGGTCGAAAGATACTATGATAAAGAAATCTAGTGAACTATTTGAGTTTAAAGCGAATGGGATAAAGAGATCATGTTTAATAGGTCGTGGATAATTCAAAAAGTATAGAATAATGAAAGGGTATACATACTCTGTTTTGCAGCCATATATATGGTTTCAGAAATGATTGGGGAATCTGATACATTTCTGGTTGGAGCCTTTGGAGTAAGAGTCGTGTCTGATATTTCCTTTGCTGCAACATCACAAATAACGAGGTAAATAGAGGAAAATAAAAGTGTTATTAAATATTGAGTAGTGTGGAATTTCGAACAATGAAAAACTATGAACTTGATATCAAAGTTTGTGAGATGAATAAATTTGAGATGAAGATATTACATACTGTATTTTGGGACACAAAAAAATGATTCCGGAATTGCTTGGGGTTGCTTTGATTTTGGGAGAGATGATAGGACACCGTTGAAATTTGAGTCAAAAGCTGATACCTTTTCTATGGAGCTTTTGTGTCGTCACTGAGATGTAAAACAGAGGATAATTAAAGGCATTAGTGAACATTGAAAATGCAGAGGTTAAAATTAAAGGCATTAAATAAATGTAAAACACACTCGCATTTATCCGTAAACAATAATACTTAACATGACACTGCAGATGCAAAATTAAAAAAAAATAAAAAATCTTGTCAAAACCCACTTCCATGTCAGGTCATAATTTTACAACCACCAAAAAATAACGGAAGGGGCATGCCGTGATCTCTGGAAAGTGATAATCGCATTTTCTTCTGAAATTGCTCACCTTCCTTAATCTTTTCTAAAGAAGCAATGATTCGCATCCTGTAACCAAATCAGAAAATAACATATGATTACCCAAAACCCATCTCAGGTGAACTAATCGCAATAAAATTTAAAAACTCATGCATTCAAATTTGAAAGAGCAAACAAAATTAATAATAATAAAATTAAGAAGTGAAAGCTGACAGACCTTGAGATTGAATATGTCCTTCCCTTTGGGTCTCTTGTTCAATAATGCGTCAACACAGTGAATACAATCTTTTTACTTGCTCTCCCTGCATATCCTCGACAACTAAAAAGCAGCAGAAGCACAACAACTACTGAGCATTAAACCTAAACCCAACTTAGGAGATCAGGTAATCTACTCAAACATACGAACTCGGTCCTTGGGCCGCTTCAACTTTGCAAATACATGACCTTCTGTCCTTGCATTTGACAATAATTTCATGTCTCATAGTTTTTAACTACCCATACCCATACCCAACTGTCAATTACCTAGTCAGTGCACCAAATTGTGAGGCTGTCCCAGGTTTTTGTTCTTGATATTTACAAAAATGTGAAACCTTATAAGTAAATTGAAAAATAAGGCATGACATTGTTGCTAGGTGAAGTGCTTGGAACATTTTTATATGCAAAAAAATAAGAATAATAAAAGAATTCTATATGATTGATGGAGCTATTAAAGTTCTTCTCTTTAACATCTTTGATTAAATAACAAAATGGCCGTTGATGAAATCATAAGACATTTATGTGAATGATGTGATGACATAATGAGGGCCATCTTGTATGTGTTAATATATTGAGAAAGAAGAAAGTTGAAAGTATAGTCAAATAGATTAAAACGTTTAACTTTTCGTTACTGTAATTCTGTTTTTCAGTCATGTTGAATAAGAGCTTCTTCTAGATTTGGCTTCTCTGAATGTTTCAAGGTTGCAAGTTTCCCATTTGATTATCATAATTGCCCCCCAATCAAACTCATAGAATCCTTTTGTCGAAGTGCTCATTCATGGTTACAGGAGGGCGTCGAAAATGTTGTGGTGGTTCATTGTAAAGCTGGTATGGCAAGGACAGGAGTAATGATTTGTAGCCTTCTCTTATTTCTTAAAGTAAGATCAATAATCAGCACCTTAAGACCTGGGGTTGTATGGTGGAAATGTTGGTCCTTCTTTTGGCTTTATATTTCTTGCACTTATGACGATAACTTTTTCTTGTTTGTTTTTCCATGTATCTGCAGTTCTTCCCTATGGCTGAGGAGGCCATGAATATATATATGTATCTAAGTGGTACATTAGTGTTGTAATGAGGACCTATTTACTCCTTAAGTTAAAAGCATAAATAAAACTAAACAAAAACATAAACAAAATCAACCCCAAAAAAGAACCAAATTCAATTTCATTAGAAACTTCAACAAAACCAACTCCAAGGTGCAACCAAATTTAACTCCAATATAATAAAACTTAAAACAAAAATCTAAGTCCACCAAGTTAACTCCCATAGGCCTATCCTCTGCAGTCTCAAAAGGACCAAATCAACTTCTAAATTCTACCCATGGCATACAGATTACGTAACGATCACTTAACACATTAATAAAGACTAATTTGGCCAGCTTCACTTAATACAAAATAGAAACACGTGAATTCACTGGAGAACATAAATCACTTGCCTTCATTCTTCACTTAATAGTTCAAATATTAGAATTTTGCAACCGAAAACATTAACCATCTCAATCATTACTAACAGACATTTCCATCAAATTCATTATTTAGACAATTTTTTTTTCAAGGCATAGTTACTAAGTGCGCCTAAAATGCAAGTACAAGGCGGCGGAATTACAAAGATTATACATTTATCTAATCTTTTTTTATAGAAAATGAAATATTTAGAAATGTTAAAGACATTCAAATTGTGAATCCAAACAAACCCAAATTGACAATTGAATAGAAAGAAAACCCGGTCCCAGATCACAAAAATCTTCAAAATTCACAAGAAATTCACATAAAGATGCAAAACTTGGGAGATGGGTTTTTAACTGTACCTCGAGAAAATGAGGACGGCGCGAACCTTTTAGAGAGTGGATGAGATGGAGAAAAGGGCATCATTTTCAAGAGGTAGGAAGAGAAAACGGCGGAGGCTATACAGGGAGAACTTCGGCGGAGCTCAGAGGGGATGGGAGGACTTGGGTGGCTGTGGACACGGCTGGCTTTGCCTCTTCTTCCATTGTTGTTGTTTATTCGGTTTCGGGTTTAAATTGGGTTCGGGCTTACTCAAGTGAATTCGGGTTTGCCTAAATTTATCAAGGATAGTACTTGGGTACTGACAGTTCCAGACCAGCAAAACCATTGCAAATTCTTTCACAAAAAGCTATCACCCACTAACTGAACTCATACGATTTACTTTTATAAAAAAGAGATTCATGCTCTGTTCTTCTTCACGCACTGATTGTTACCACTATGGAGATCCAAATTAATTAATGGCAGAAATTGTGGCTTCAGGATCTTGCTCGTCACCACAAGGCACAAACATCATCGATCAAATGGTGAGAGGGACTGTCCGAATTGATGATGATAGGTCGCAATCATCGCCATCGTCCATAACGGAGGACGACGATCGCAGTCGCTGTAGAAGAAAGGGATTGGTGGGTCGCAGGAATTAGGGATTGGGATCACGGGAGAAGAGAGGGGGTTGTGGGTGCGTCAGGTTCGATGAGGGAGAAGAAGAATGTTTGGTTTGATGAGGTACTGAACAGTCACCCAAGTATTATCCTTTTATCATATTCAATCTTTTTAACCCTATTATTTTATAAAATAGATCTCAAATTTTGAACCAAATAAGGCAGAACTATTTAAAATTTAATTTTACACATCATAATTTATTAAAAAAATAAACCAAATAGCAAATACGCATTTTAAAGTTTCAACCATGCAAAGTTGAAATTAAATGACAAGATAATATTAATATTTTAACAAAAAGCAATACTATTGCACATTGTTCAAATAAAAAGCAAACAACAAACTTCAAGTATAGCCATTCCAAACTTGTATCTAGCTTATATAATACGAAGTGGGACCAGTAATATGTGTATGAGCAATTTGAGTAGAAATTGAATTGGGTTTAGGTTGACATGGACGAGCAAAGCATCAATCCAACCCAATAGAGATTGGTTCGAAAAATTGAAACTGAAAAAAAATAGAACTGAACACCAAACCAAAACTGAAATAAACTGAACTAGATTATATTGGCTTAGTTTCAGTTTCAAAAGTTCGGAAACCGAACTAAACCAAACTCAACTGAATTATAAACCCATTTAAACGAGTATTATGATACTTAACAAACCCTTACTAACTAATACATTACACTCTGTACATATGCAATTAACCTAAGGATTTGTTATTGTTTTTTATTGCCCAGTGCCTAAGATGAAATGGATTTTGGCAGGAGCCAATTGCTTAACTAATAAACGGTATGAAATGGATTCTATGTTAATTTCCCATTGCATATAATTATTAGAATTTAGTTTTTGCGTTATAATTATTTGAGGTCGGTGCCTTATGTTTGAATAAGGCTTTTGCCCGGTTGTTTTGTTTGGTTATCCATGTAATGTAAGCTTAGCTTGATACAATTATTGGTATAATTTTTTGATAATTGTTTTATTATTTTTAGTACTGGAATATATGCATCTTACCTTATTTTTAGTAATGGAATAAATAAGGATTCGGCCTTCTTTTGAAGTTTCAACAATGCATACATTAGTGATATAGTGTACCATGCAACGGTGTTTTTTCTGTTTTATTTGAACAAACGATATTATCTACACTAAGGGGTGAGGGAGTGGGCTAAGTCTCACAATGGACTAACAATAATATGGTTCAAATTCGCCTTTGGCGATAATCAAACCTAAAACTTCTCACTTACAAGTGAAAATGAATATTGCTAGACCGTAGTTGTGACAACCCGTCCCAAAATATAATATATTTTATCATCGATAGCGTGGAATGACTATTTTACCCTTGAGCGTTGGGTTGTGAATGTATTATTGGGCTAAGAAAATGGACTAATTATTTTCATTTCCTACTTCTTTGAACCCAATTGAAGCTTGGGATTGTTTTGGATGAATCTTAGCCTACAATTGGTAGCCCAATTAGGGCTTAAGGATTTTATATGGATACCCAATCCGGACACACACATGCGCACACACATGTATAGACTTCTCTCTCTCCCTCTCTCGAGTCTTCCTCATCCGTACAATCTGTACGTCTAATCTCTCTACGAACTTCATCTCTCACAAATCGAGCTAGTAGAGGTTTTTTTTGAACTCCTTGCAAGCCTTGGAGTCGAGCCATGCCTTTGGTTTGAGGAAAAGACTAGTAGAACTCGAGACGCCCGAGCTCTGGCAAGGAGTGGAATTTTCTTCTGTGTGATCGAGAAGATATTAGCTGGATTTAAGACTTAAGAAGGTAAGAATTCATCTTCTCTAGCATGTTAGGCTAGTTTTGGTTAAGTTTGGATGCCGAAATGAGCTTGGTTGTGGGATTGCAGGAATAGCCAGTTTTTCAAGGATTTTTCCAGCCATTTTTCTTTGGGTTTAGGACGTAAAAGTGGTAAGAACTAGTTCTACTCGTTTACAACTTCATTTTGGTACAAATTTCATGAAATTTGGTTGAGGAATGGCGAAGATATTCAAGTTTTAAGTTTTCCAGAAACCGGCAAGTGCAGTGGTGGCTGGTGTCGGAATCCGGCGAACCATTGGAGAAGAAGGAGAATATTTCTTCAATTTTGACAGAATATGTTAAGGGCGTCAAGTAAAATTAACGGCATATGCTATTATTTAACGGAATATTCCTTAACGCCATTGGGGAATCCGTCAGTATGCCAGGTACGTGGGCGGCGTATGTGGCTGTGCCTTGACTGGTGCATGAGAGCACGTGGGAACTTAGAAAATTATTCTAAGAATATGGGGATGTTCGTGGGGTTGAGTAGGTCACAATGGTATTTCAAATACCCCAATTGAGCAACGTATGAGAAGTTATTACCTAGTTTTGGTTATGTGCTTAAAATAACGTTAAAATAGTTGTTTCACATATAGGTGAGACGTTTCCAGAGGACAAGTGCAATCAGGCGAAGCTCGGGGGTTACAATCCTGCCACATATCAGTGAGTGGGCTTTTGGTTTTCAGTATATATATATGCTTGGTATTTTTTCCCAGAAACTCATTTAAATGGACTTATGTTTTGAAATGCCATGCCAAATATTTTATACTTAGAATATGCATTTAGTAGTTGCACATATTTATGTTTGATGCTACAAAAGCTCAGGTAAGTGCTAGGTGAGTTTATAGATTATGGATGTGAGTTGCATGATTATGTTGAGATATATTATAGCTCATAAACTTGCACCCCGATGTTAGTGCTCCCGTCCGTGGTCAGGGCATAGTCCTTCACGTGACGTTCACCTCCCGCACCATACACTCACCTTGGATCCAAGTTAGGTGCACAGTCCTGTCGTACAGATTACTATAGGTGGTTCCGACTCGTAGGTGATCCGCGATCATTTGCACAGTCTTCACGTGATCGTAGCATTTGAGCTTATTTATTTACACCCAGTCCTGTTGTACAAACCATTTTAGGTGGTTCCGACTCGTGTGCAGGCATACTTGTTGAGGTATTGGTTGAGCCATACATGTCATATTAGGTGACTCCGGCTAGATGGATGAGCTATAAATTCAGCCGTACATGTCATATTAAGTGACTCCGGCTGACATATCATTTGCATTAATTTATATCACCTGGCTTACATATTTTATGCTGAGATATTTGACATGGCATATATGTGGATTTTGCTATTCCGAGCATGATTTTGATATATGTATGTATTCTATTTTCTAGGAAATTATACAAGTTTTACAATGAGGGGTTATTACTTTTGATAAGTGAAATGGTTTTGAAAAGCTTTGTTTTTGCCCACTCACACTTTTTGTTTTGCGCCATTCCAGGTTTTAGGTAGGAGTGCTTATTTGGTGGCTTACGAGGAATTGATGGCGATTCTGACAGATTATCACTAATGTAGGACCACCTCTAGTATTGTATAATTAGTATTTGTCCTACTGGATTGCACTTTGGCTACCTATGCTCTGATTATTGTGTAACCACATTTAAATATCGGGATTGCACTTTTATTTGCTTAGTGTAAATTAGTTAGCTTGGTTCTTAGTTATTCACATTTCTTTATATCATTATCATTTCCGCATCGCACACATGGCTACGTCACCCTCACGTGACGGCTAGCATGCCTTGATTTTGGTCGGGGTGTGTCAGTAGTACTAAGTGGCCATGCAACGGTGTTATCTTTATTGAAAATATACATTAAAAAAACTAACCCGAAAAAAAAAATCAAACCGAATAGTAACTTCGGTTCGATTTTCAGTTTCGGCTAAAAACCAAACAGAAAGGAACCGAACCCACCCCTACAACCCAATAAATAATCGAGTTGAGGTCGGTTGGGTTTCGGCAAAAAACCAAACAAAAAGGAATCGAACCTACCCGTACAACCCAATAAATAATCAGGTTGAGGTCGGGTTGGGTTTCAGTGGGTTTGTACTTCATTCTAACCCTCTTTATTAGGTTTGAAATCGAGTTGGGCATGAGCAGATTCAGGTTGACCCAACCCGTGTTGCACCCCTACTTGTGAGAAATGCAAAATAGAATTTTTAGAGTGATAATAACAGTTCTCAATTTTTTTGTTTTTTTGACAAACTTGAGATGAAAATACATTAAGGATCAAAGTGAAGCAACTCAAAAAGGGAGATTTTCTTTAAATCCTTGACTAATATCTTTTTGCACAAAATCGAAAATGGTTTGAAGAGCGACTTGATATAATTATTTATATTCATAATAAAACTATGTAATATTTTGATGTGGCAACACTCTTTTTTCCCTTTGTGTGGATTAAAATTCCCCAAGATGATTTTCATCTCAAAAACCTTATCCTCATCTCATAAGTATCGTATTTTCACTATATATAATATCTTGGGTTAGTCTTAGTTTACTATCTTGAAATTCGTGGTTTTTAACGTTTGGTACATAAAGTTTCTTTCATCCCAGAGTCACACCTCAAGTCTTAATTTTGGTATAGACTTATACATCCGTTAAGTTTTCCGTTAGAAACTCCGTTAACCGATGATTTGGTGCCCACGTGAACAATGATTAGGTGCCATGTGGACATAAAAAAATTGAAAATTAAGAAAATTAAAAATAAATAAAAACTAGGATAAATTTAAATTTACTACCTTGAAGTTTTTGATTTTTAATATTTCATACATAAGTTTTTTTCTTCTCAATCTAGTACCTAAAGTGATGATTCTTGGACAGTTTCATACATTCATTAAGCTTTATGTTAAAACAGTAGTTAACCTGTGACGTGGCGCCAACATGGACGATGACTGGGCGCCACGTGTTAATTTAGGCCCCACATGGATATTAAAATTTTTAAAATTTAAAATAAAATGAAGGGTTGAAATTATGGAGTTCCTAGCGAGTTACCTCCGTATTGAAGGTGACTCTCCTAGTGTTGTTGTTTCAAATTCGACACCCGGCTTCGATCTTTGCGTCAACATGTTGCGGGCGGCAAGGTCGAGTTTGCCCAAGTTGAGTTTTAAACTCGCCAGGAACTTGGTGTTTTTAATTTTTAATTTTTAATTTTTTAATATGCACATGGGCCATAGATTGACACATGGTGCATAGTCATTGT